GACTGAGGGGTGACCTGACAGAGGTTTATAAAATCATGACGGGAATGGATAGGGCGAATAGTCAAGGACTTTTTCCCAGGGTAGGGAGGTCCAAAACTAGAGGAGAAAGAATTAAAAGGGACCTGAGGGGCAACTTTCCACACAGGGTGGTATGTGTATGGAACAATGTGCCAGATGAAGTGGTGCTAACAGGTACAATTACAACATTTAAAAGGCATGTGGATGAATACATGAATAGGAAGGGTTTAGAGGGATATGAGCCAAATGCTGGCAAATAGGACTAGATCAATTTAGGATATCTGATCGGCATGGATGAGTTGGACTGAAAGGTCTATTTCTGTGCCATGTAAATTCTATGAGTCTAAATGGGTTCAAATTCATGGGACTAGTACTGGGGAAGGAGGAAGCTGTTCGGATTAGAAGGGGCTCCACCTGGAATCATGTTGGGACCAGAATCCTGGTGAATTGTATAATATTGGTTGTAGACAGTGCCTTAAACTGAAGAGTGGGTGGGTGGGTGCGTCAGTTGCATGGAAAATTACAAAATCTTAGTTAAAGGAGAAGGCACGAGGTGCAGTCCTGGAGCAGTGGCCAGTGCAGGGGAAGCAGTCCTGGAGCAGCGGCCAGCGAGTCCTGGGTGGATGCCGGCAGGGGGAGCAAGTCCTGGGCAGAGGCCAGCATGGGGAAGCATGTCCTGGAGGAAACTTGCCTTGGAGCAGCTCAGAGCTGGTGTGGAGTGGAACAAAGAACATAGAACAGTACAGCACAGTACAGGCCCTTCAGCCCATGATATTGTGCTGACCTATTATCCTACTAAGATCAAACTACCCTGCATACCCTACATTATACTCTCATCATGTGCCTATCCAAGAGTCGCTTAAAAGTCTCTAAAGTATCTGATTCCACTATCACTGCTGGCAGTGCGTTCCACACACCCACCACTTTCTGTGTGAAGAACCTACCTCTGACATCTATACCTTCCTCCAATCACCTTAAAATTATGTCCCCTTGTAACAGTCATTTCCGCCCTGGGAAAAAGTCTCTGACTATCCACTCTATCTATGCCTCTCATCATCTTGTACACCTCTATCAAGTCACCTTTCATCCTTCTTCGCTCCAATGAAAAAAGCCCTAGCTCCCTCAACCTTTCCTCATAAGACCTGCCCTCCAGTCCAGGCACCATCCTGGTAAATCTCCTCTGCACCCTCTCTAAAGCTTCCACATCTTTCCCGTAATGAGGTGACCAGAACTGAACATAATATTCCAAGTGTGGTTGCAGAATAACCTCGCAGCTCTTAAACTCAGTTCCCCTGCCGATGAAAGCCAACACACCATATGCCTTCTTTACAACCCTATCAACTTGGGTAGCAACTTTGAGGGATCAATGGACGTGGACCCCAAGATCCCTCTGTTCCTCCACGCTGCTGAGAATCCTGCCATTAACCCTATATTCTTCATTCAAATTTACCTTCCAAAATGAATCACTTCACACTTTTCTGGGTTGAATTCCACCTGCCACTTCTTTGCCCAGCTCTGAATCCTGTCAATGTCCCGTTGCAACCTGCAACATCCTGAGGATGTTACCAAGCACGGTAACGAAACGTCTGCAGAACAACAAACCAGCTCGGCAAGCCAATCAACCTCAACACCCACAACCTAAGCTACAGATCTACTCCAAAACCTTAGAAAACTGCAACAGCCCCCCACGCTGTCCACAACTCCACCAATCTTCATGTCATCAGCAAACTTACTAACCCACCATTCCACTACCTCATCCAAGTCATTTATAAAGATCACAAAGAGCAGAGGACCCAGAACAGATCCCTGCGGAACACCACTGGTCACCGAGCTCCAGGCTGAATACTTTCGATCTACTGCCACACTCTGTCTTCTATTGGACAACCAGTTTTGTATCCAGACAGCCAAATTTCCCTGAATCCCATGCCTCCTTACTTTCTGAATGAGCCTACCATGTGGAACCTTATCAAATGCCTTGCTAAAAATCCATATGCACCATATCCACTACTCTGCCTTCATCGATGTGTTTTGTCACATCCTCAAAGAATTCAATAAGGCTTGTGAGGCATGACCTGCCCCTCACAAAGCCATGCTGACTATTTCTAATGAAACTGTACTTTTTCAAATAATCATAAATAATATCTCTTAGAATCCTCTCCAATAATTTGCCCACCACAGAAGTAAGACTGACCTGTCTATAATTCCCAGGATTATCCCTATTCCTTTTCTTGAACAAGGGAGTGACATTTGCCACCCACCAATCATCTGGTACTACTCCAGTGGACAGTGAGGACATAAAGATCATTGCCAAAGAGGCAGCAATCTCTTCCCTTGTTTCCCATTGTAACCTTGGGTATATCCCATCTGGCCTAGGGGACTTCACTATCCTCATGTTTTTCAAAGTTTCTAGCACATCCTCCTTCCTAACATCAGCCTGTTCGAGCATATCTGCCTGTTTTATGCTGTCCTCACAAATGTCAAGGTCCCTCTTGCTGGTGAATACTGAAGCAAAGTATTCATTAAGGACCTCCCCTACCTCCTCTGACTCTGCGCACAAGTTCCCTCCACTATCCCTGATTGGCTCTACCCTCACTCTGGCCATCCTCTTGTTCCTCACATAAGCATAGAACACCTTGGGGTTTTCCTTGATCCTACCCACCAAGGTTTCCTCATACCCCCTTCTAGTGCGCCTAAGTCCATTCTTCAGTTCCTTCCTGGCTACCTTGTAGACCTCTAGATCCCTGTCCAACCCTTGCTTCCTCAACCTTCTTCCTCTTATCTAGGTATTCCACATGTCTTGTCATCCAAGGTTCCTTCACCTTACCATCCTTTCCTTGCCTCAGTGGGACAAACCTAGCCAGTACTTGTAGCAACTGCTCCCTAAACAACCTCCACATTTCTGTCGTGCATTTCCCTGAGAACATCTGATCCCAATTTATGCTCCGCAGTTCTTGCCTAATAGCATTGTAATTCCCCCTCCCCCAATTAAATACTTTCCCATACCTTCTGCTCCTGCCCCTCTCCAGGACTATAATAAAAGTCAGGGAGTTGTGATCACTATCACCGAAATGCTCTCCCAATAGGCTTGGAGCGGAGCAGGTACAGTTGTGTACTGGGGTCTGGCGTGGGCGGTCAGACCATGTGTGGAAGTCCTTGCACTGAGTTACTGCAATGTAATGTTTATTTGTAATTTGTTTATCTGACTAATGTCAATCCTTTAACTATGTCTTATTTATTCTTTAAACACTGTAAAGTAATGCAACTACTTTTCTTTTTTATTCTTCTTTTGTATCTAAGATTTTTACCTGGATACTTGTAACTAAGATGGCACCCATAAGAGGCGACATTGTAAAACTTTTCACTGTACTCCTGTACTTGAATACACATGACAATAAAGGATATTCTGTTCTATTCTACAGGTATGCGTGCGGGTTAGTGATCAGGTTGATTGTTACCAAAAAATAAAAGGAAGGGACAGAACAAAATGTTTGAACATCATAGTGCACCAAGGAATCACAAAAGTGCAGGGAAATTTGATAATAGAACAAACTTAAAGTCTTTATGTCTGAATGCACATGGGTTTGGAATAAAATTAATGAGTTAACAATGCAAAGAACAGTTAGGAGGACTAAAAGTGGCAAAAAGGCAAACGTAAAGGCTTTGTATCTTAATGCACAAAATATTTGGAATAAGGTAGTTAAACTGACAGCGCAAATTGAAGTCAATGGCTACAATCTCAGACTTCATCGAGACACGGTCATAAGGAGACAAAAACTGGAAACTTAATATTCAGGGATATTTAACCTGTTGGAAAAACAGGAGGGAAGGAAAAGGCGATGGGATAGCACTGTTAGTAAGAGACGAAATGAGGACGGTTATCAGACATGATCTAGACTCAGATGATGTGGAGTCCATTTGGGTGGAGTTTTTTTTTTAAAAAAAGCAGTGGAAAGAAAACATTGACAGTAGTGGTGTGTGGATCCCCAAACAGTAGCAAACTCTGCACGAGAAGGATTAAATGAACAAATAATAGGAGCATGTAAAAAGAATAGAGCAGTAATTATGGGTGACTTTAATCATCACATTAATTGAGTTCATCAAGTTGGAAAGGGTAGCTATGACAATAAATTCATATGTCATGGAGCCAACCAGGGAACAGGATCTTGGATCTAGTAATGGGTAATGAGGCAGGATTAATAAATGATTTCAGGGTAAAAGATATCCAAGGAAACGTTAATCATAACATGATATAATTTAATATTCATTTTGAGTGTGAGAAAGTTCGTCAGAATCAACTGTGCTTAACTTAGATAAAGGACATTACAATGAAATCAGGATAGACTTACAGCAGAATGGATAGATAATCAAGAAAGACGGTAAACAAGCAGTGGCAATTATTTAAATAGGCAATTTATGTCTTTAATTTCAGAGAAGATTCACGAGGATGATCCCCGGTATGGAGAAGATTGTCTTATTGCAAAGGAGAAACAGGTTTCGACTCTATTTATTGGAAATAAGAAGAATGAGAGGTGATGTCAATGAAACACATAGGATTCTCAAAGGGCTTGATAGGGTAAATGCTGAGAAGATCTTTCCCCTCATGGGAAGAGTCTATAACCAGAGGGCATAGTCTCAGAATAAAGGGGTGTCAATTTAAGTCTGAAATGAGGAAGAATTTCTTCTCTCAGAAGGTTGAGAGCCTGGGAACACTTTGCCATGGACAGCTGTTAGGGTGGAGTCCTTGTGCGTATTTAAGGCTGAAACAGATTCTAGATTAGTAGGGTAATCAAGGCTGCAGAGAAAGAGCAGCAGAAAGGATGTGAGGATTGTCAGATCAGCCATGGTCTTATTGAATGGTACAGTAGGCTCGAGGGGTCCAATGTACTACTCCTGTTCCTTATGTTCTTATGATAACAGGTGACTTAATTATCCTAATTCATACAGGATATTATCTGATCATAATAAATAAAATGTGGCATTACCTTTTCAGAGTATTCTTTAAGCCGTTGTAAATCGATGATTTTTGATGTTTTCAGAGTAGACAGACTACTCTGCATACTTTCAACATCTTTATCATATTTTTCCATCCAAAATTCTAGGCTTTCCTCTAATTCCTGATTGACAAACAAAGAATGGAAAGGTACGAAATGAAAACCTCGAGGTACTTTAATCAGCAGAAAAATTGATTAGTTCCATAATATTTCAAATACCAAGGTGGATTATTGTCACTGATTAATTTCTATTTTTCCCTCACACTAGATTTCTTGTATGTTTCATATTTTTATTTATGTCTGGTATTGGATGTACTGAAGTAGTTTTACTCATTTATTGTAAACAAATAATAAGAAACAACATAACAGTCTGGATACTGATTCTAATTTGTCATTCAACATTACAGTTTAATGGAAATTTTTGTTGAAGTAAATTAATTAATTTATTTTCAGTTCCCAATTTATCTCATTTAACAATAATGTTGTATTTAAAGCTATATAAATGAAAACTATCAGAAGTGTTTTTGTCTCTTCCCTTCTTCTCAAGAATGCTTACCTCTTGCTGTGGTTTATTTAATAGCACCAGCTGGGTTGGGGGGTAAAATGTGAGAATGCAGAGATGCTTCACTGCAGGTTGGACAAGTTGAGTGTGTAGGCAAATGCATGGCAGATGAAGCTTAATGTGGATAAATGTGAGATTATCCTCTTTGATAGCAAAAACAGGAAGGCAAATCATTATCCAAATGGTGATTAGACTGGGAAAGTGACTGATGTAACCAGGCCTGAATGTCCTGCACCTGTTGCTGAAAACTTGCAGGTGCAGCAGGTGGTGAAGAAGGCAAATGATATGTTGGCCTTTGTAGTGAGAATTTAAGTACAGGAGCAGAAATGTTTTGAAATTTTACAGGGCTTTAGTGAGACCACACCTTGGGTGTTGTGTGCAGTTTTGGTCTCCCTTTCCGAGAAGGGATGTTCTGGCTATTGAGGGAGTGTGACAAGGGTTTAGTAGACTGATTCCTGGGATGGGACAACTGACGTATGAAGAGCAATTGGATATGTTAGAACTATATTCACTGGAGTTTAGTACAATGAGGGGATGATTATGGGCGGCACGGTGGCTCAGTAGTTAGCACTGCTGCTTCACCGTGCCAGAGACCCAGGTTTGACTCCACCCTTACACTGTGTGGAGTTTGCACGTTCTCCCCATGTCTGCGTGGGTTTCCGCCAGGTGCTCTGGTTTCCTCCCACAGTCCAAAGATGTGCAGGCTAGGTGCATTGGCCATGCTAAATTGCCTGCAGTGTTCAGGGATGTGCAGGCTAGGTGGGTTAGCCATGGGAAAGGCAAGGTTACAGGGATAGGGAAGGGGGATGGGTCTGGGTGGGATGTTTTTTGGAGGGTCAGTGTGAACCCGTTGAACCAAATAGCCTGTCTCCACACTGTAAGGATTCTATGATCTCATCGAAACCTATAATGGGATAAAAGCAAGAAAGATGTTCCCAATGACCAAGGAATCCAGAATCAGGTAGGCCAAATAGGACTGATATGAGGCAAGATTTCTTCACCTGGAGAGTGGTGAGTCTGTGGAATTCTCTGTCACAAAACACAGCTGAGGCCAAAACACTGGATGTTGTTAAAAGGAGTTAAACATAGTTGTTTGGGCTAAAGACATCAAAGGGTGTGGGGAGAATGCAGAATAGGATACTGAGTGAGATGTTTAGCCATGATCAGATTGAATGGTGGAGCAAGGTCAAAGAGCCAAATTGTCTACTCCCGTTCCTATTTTCTATGTTTCTGTAGCTTTTGAAGCATTTTGCTGAAAGGTTATTCTTTGAACATAAGTGTGGCCGTATTTTCTAATGCGTGTTATTTTCATATTGGTAATAAATGAAATTACCACAGGCATTACAATGGCATAAGTTGGAAAATTTAAACTTTATGTTATAGGCAGTGGGGGCTCACAGCTGATCAATTTCTACAAAATAATGTCTCGTCACAGCTGCTTCCGTTTGGAGTTAATGAAATAAAAACACAAAATACAGGGCTGTTGTGGTGCAGTGGTAGGGTCCCTGCCTCTCAACCAGAAGCCTTGGGTTCAGGTCCCACCTGCTCCAGATCTGTGTCATAATATGTCAGAACAGATTGATTAAAAAGTTTAATTTGAATCCTCTTGTGGTGGAGTGGTAGCGTCCCTATACCTGGACTGAAAGACCCACGATCTAGTCCCACCTGCTGCGAAGTTGGGTGGAGTACTTGCGGTTTAGGAGGCAAGAAGTTAGAATTTAGTGTTTGTAAAATGCCAGGGGGGAAAGCATTGCATGGTCCCTTTAAAAGATCATGTGCTTTTCCTGTGCTCAGAGATTTAACATAGGTGTCTGTGAGCAGCAGCTTGAAAGCTTGCAAGTAAACAGAGAGCACCGGAATTGAAACATTTGTATTGAAAAGCTGTACAGTTAGCAGGCTGAGCAGCAGGTTTTTTTTTTAACCAAGACAACAGGCTTTTGAATTTAGCCAATCTTAGATACCAATACTTAGATACCAAAAACGTATTAAATTTAGGTCTGATGGTTTTGACAACATAGGACCGATCCTATTGTAAGAAATATTGATATAACATCAAGAGGAATAAAAGAAGGGGCAGTTGAACACAAAGCCCAGAGCTAGCTGCCATCTGCTAGAGCTTACGGCACTCCGCTCTCAAGATAGAATCACCTGGCTCTCTCTCAGCTTCCTCTGTGCCCTAGAGAAAGCACCATCTAAATAACAATGGCACAACTAGTTAGTATTCCTGACAGAAGAATCGACAGAGAAGGCATTGCTGACAGTAGAATCAACGAAGAAGGCACCAAACATTCCGGACGACATGTAACCTGGCTGTAAATTCAGGACAACAAGGTGCAGGGCTGGATGAACACAGCAGGCCAAGCAGCATCATAGGAGCAGAAAGGCTGACGTTTCGAGCCTAGACCCTTCATCAGAAAAGACAAAATTTTATTTTTTTTTAAACAAAAGTGGGGCTTGTATTTATTGGAACAACATACCATTAGAACCTTGCTTTAGTTGGGAATAGTTAGTAGTTAGAAGGGATTTATTTGGTTTGTTAATAGTTTAGTTAATTTTTTCACTGTTAAAGTTAGATAAATAAATTGTTACTTGTTGATTTTAAAATTAGTGTCAGGGATCTATTTTATTTAACCACCAGAACTAACCACAGAGTGGATGTTAGGAAGATGTTTCCATTGGTAGGAGTGACTAGGACCCGACGGCACAGCCTTAGAGTAAAAGGAAGACCTTTTAGAACAAAGACGAGGAGAAACTTCTTCAGCCAGAGAGTGGTGAATCTATGGAATTCACTGCCACAGAAGACTGTGGAGGCCAGGTCATTGAGTATATTTAAGACAGAGATAGATAGGTTCTTGATTATCACGGGGATCAAGGGTTACGGGGAGAAAGCAGGAGAATGGGGTTGACAAAATTATCAGCCATGATTGAATGGCCTAATTTCTGCTCCCATATCATAGTCCTATGATCTTAAATTGCTGAAAAGCAGGTTATACCACTTTCTACACTCCTTTTACAGATTATACGGTGAGGTGCTCCTCTTTGGGTGTTTCGGTTTTCGTTCTCAGAGGGGGAGGTCAACCTTCACTCTATAACGGATTGGGGGCTTGTCATCCGGGATCTGGCCAGATTCGAACAGATTTAGGGTAATAAAAGGTCCCAGCAAATTTAAACAGACTTGGGGACTAGTGTCCTAGATCTTTTAAACAAAACTTAAGTGAGTAGTGGAAAATCTGTTTAATTTAGGTTGCTTGTTGGTGTAATCAAAAGTGGGGAAATGGCTCTTAACATTGCTAAAGAGGTTCTGGGGGGGGGTCAAAGATAGTGCCCAAATTGGCTAGTGAGGTGTTTGCAGTGCTGTCAGAGGTGGTGGCAGGAGAATAAGAAGTAAAAAAGGCTATTTTGAGTGCCTACAAATTGGTACCAGAAGCATATAGACAACAGTTCAGAAACGTAAGAAAGGAACCAGGTCGGACTTCTGAGATAACAAGGTGTAGAGCTGGATGAACACAGGAGGCCAAGCAGCATCAGAGGAGCAGGAAAGCTGACATTTCGAGCCTAGACCTTTCTTCAGGCCTTCTAGGCCTGAAACATCAGCCTTCCTGCTCCTCTGATGCTGCTTGGCCTGCTGTGTTCATCCAGCTCTACACCTTGTTATCTCAGATTCTCCTGCATCTGCAGTTCCTACTATCTCAGGTCAGACTTCTATCGAGTCTGAAAGAATTAAACAGAGCAACTTCGATAAATGAATGACAGGATTAAAGATAGAAAAGACATACGAGGATCTTAGAGATGTTATTCTGCGTGAGTTTAAAAACTCACTTCCAGAAATGATAAGAACTCATGTTAAGGAACAGAAAGTTAAAACAGCGAGAAGAGCTGCAGAGATGGTGGATGAATACGCATTAGTGCATAAGTCAAAATCTAGCTTCCGACATCAATTTCATTTTGTGGGGGGTAGAAATTGGGGAAAAAAGAGATCCTTTAATGAAAAACAAAAAGTAGATCACACTGGGAACAGTTTACCACACATGAAAAAAGAAACCCAACAGGGTGGAAAAGAGGTGAAAGATCTCAGGGGTTTTCACTACAATAAGGTGGGGGACACAAAGTCACAATGCTAGTGGGTTAAGAAAGGCACTCTGAAAAGTAGGTTAAACCAGTGGGATTATTTAAAGTGGTAAAGGAAATCCCAAGATAAGTCGAGGAGCTGCAGGAGAATGCGCAGTCTAGTCACGGGCTGGATATTAAGATAGCACCCGAACTTTTCAAAAACTTCACCTGCGTGGGTAAGATTTACTCAGATAGAACAGGGGGAGTATGTAAAGAAATTAAAATATTAAGAGATACGGGAGATAGAGTATCTCTAACAGTAAGAGATGAAAATATTTGCACTCCTCTGAAATATTGCCTTAGAGACTGGTAGTCTGTGGAATAAATGGAGTAGTGTTCCCCTGTGTAAGATAAGGCTGGAAAGTCCATTCAAGACTGGGAAACTGGGAGTGATGGAAAAATTGGCGATTCCAGGAATACAGTTTATTCTTGGGAATGATATAGCTGGATC